GTTTAATTGCTAAACTTCTCTAGAGAAACAGCTATGGAGTACAGGATCCTTCAGAATTCCTACATCACCACAAAATTTATCCTAGTAATACGTGAAAAAAAAGTTATGTACATATAACAAGGATGAAAACCGCAATTGTTTTCCTATCCCTCAACATCATGATTACACAATTATCAATAGAAAAGTTTCACTCTGTGATCTTTTACGTTAGTGCCTTGGAGGACTAGTCAAATTAAATCTTTAGAGGCAATGATCTTGTCCTCATTTCTCTGAGAATCTAGAAATAATTGCTTCTTCCGTGTTTTACAAACTGTAGCAATAAACTTTGGATTTTATAAATTAGGTTTTAATATTTAAGCCTGTTTTGAATATATTTATGAACAAGACCATTCTCGATAAAATAATTAGTAAAGTTCCTTTAGGCAACGGAGAGAAAAATATGTATTTCTCTACAAAGGATTATAGAAAATTCATGACAAATGCAAGAGAAAGAAGAATAAGAATGCAGAGCTCTATTTCAGGCCCCAAGGAAATAAATTACAAAGATCAAAACAAGGAAGCAGCTCTTGCTCATTAGGAAATGGTCGGGTAAGATATCATTTCTTTCTGAAATGTAGGAGTTGTAGAATAATTGAGCATAGTCAGCCATGCAGAATTAAACTCCAAAAGAAAATAGAAAACAGACCTAAAATAAATGTTACATAGCTTAAAAAAAAGACATCATCATAAACAGAAGTAATGGTTTTATAGGACTAATAATAAATATTTCAAAAGTTACAAGAAAAATATCTAATCACTGTGCTTTGGTATAGGTATACATGGTTTTATTAATATATTTTTAATTGAAAGAACAAAACTATAACTTTCATTACTAGTAAAAGCCAGTTCCGTACTTTTTACATGTGTGTGTAAACTGTATGTGATGATGTGTGTTTACAAAATAGCTAAACTAACAGTTTAAAAATATTTTAAAACTTTTTAAGGAAACAGTGTCAGGGCTAAAGTAGTGAGCATCTTGGCATTCACAAGAAGATTGTGCAATGCTTTCTAATCCAGGTGGTGTCACTATCATGGCTCCCAATTTAGACAAATGTCAATTATACTGTTTTACTTCAGTTATGAAAAGTTAAATTTATAAACAAATGGAGAAGAGGGTAGGTCTTACAAAGTGTAATATAGCTCTTATTGTCAAGAGCTTTTATGGTTTTTCCATGAAAGCCACCCCTAACACACTGCAGTGATGAACTATTGTTATTTTGATTTACGTTTCCTTCAGGACCAGTGATGTTTAATCCCTTCCCCAGGCCAATGTTCTACCAGGTTTGCAGAAGGGTCCATGAAATACATGGGTCTAGTTTTTACTCTATTCATTTGGGATTTGTTGTGTATTGTGTGTTTCTTTTTCTGAAATGGAATCATTTCAGGTGCACATGCCACAAGTCTTACATCCCTTTCACTGGATGCCTTTTCAGTGCTATGACTGCTTTCTTCTGTGAAGGTCTGTTGTCTGATGTACTCACATTGTTTAATTCTTTTGCAGTCTGAGCCCTATTGTGATACCCAAACAATCATTTCCAGGCCACAAGTCCAGGATCCAGTCTGCTCAATTTACTTCTAGGACTCTTACGTGTTCCAGGCATTATATTTATAGTTCTCAATCTATTTGGAATTGGCTTCTTAGTTGTGTCGAGGTGGGGGCATGCAGGGGGTTCCAGGGAACCCTGCCTGATTGTTCCTGGGATTGAACTTTGAAGTTACTGTGAGAAACTATGGAATTTCCTCAAACAAATACATATGAAAGTACCACGTGATACAAAAGTCTCTTCTGATTTTATATCCAGTGTATAACCATCATCTCATAGAGATACATGCATGCCCATGCTCACTGAAGCATTATGATGGCTAAGGTATAGAAGCAACCTTGGTGTTCATCCGTAGAGAAATAGAAAAGAAAATTATCACACATACTAATATATTCAGCCTTAAGAAAAGAGTTTTTGACATCTGTGACATCTGCATACATCATGTCAGACATAGGTGAAATTAAAATATTTGCATTCATATAAACCATTAGTAAAATAGGGACTATTGGGGCATTGGCTTTTGAGAAAGGGAATATGTAATACAAAGAGTTTTACATCAGTTTTAGAGGATGGCCATCTACAGAGGTAATACAAGGCATGAGCCCCACAGGCAATAATATTAAACTGTATATTAGAAAATTGCTACAAGAGCCCATTATTTATATATATATATATGAAAGCATATATATGTATATATATTAAATCATAAACTCTATAATATTAAGGCAATTCTAAAGTAATTCAACAGTAAGAGGGAAAACATGTCTGGTTTCACTTGTCTTCATAAGAATACATTCTAAAAAATAAACAATAAATCAGTTAAATAGAGTTAACCCCTGGTTATAATTAATCCTTATGATTCAAAGACAAAGTTATTTGGCACTGGAAACAACAAACTTGGCAGACAATAGCATCAAACTGTGATGTGTCAGCAGAAGTTAGATTTAAGTGGGCCTAGAAAGTGGAGGACCTGGTAAGGATTAATATCCAAAGATAAATATAATTGTGGTTTGTGAATATGAAGTCACCTGTGCAGAAATCTCTAAGCTTCAAAGCTTTGAAGCCAAGGCAAAGTAAGGTCATGAATTAGACAAAGAGGCCCAAGAACCGAAGAGTACACTATTCGGTCATATGTGTTTTCCAGGCTTCAGAACAAGTATGCAATGCCAACTGGAGTAGGAAAAATGTAAAAGAGTTTCCCTCATTCAGATTATTGTAGGATCATCTAATGATAGGATATCGAAACATAAGTTATGGTTTACCTGAATCTCTGATGGGATTTTTAGGACATTTGTAATGTATGATATGTAATCCTGTGTTCATGTATCATTGCAATTTATCAAAAAAATGTACATTAATTATTTTGACATAAGCCAGGTTATTTGGATCTTTTTATCAATTCATACAGGGAAAATCCTTTCCTGGGCAAACACAAAAGTAAAAGTCATAATACCATGCCAGTGAAACAAAACTTCTTCTCTGAATGGAACTGACTGTGCCTCCTATGTAAGCTCCAACAGAATCATTGTGTTAGCCAGACTTTTGCACCAAGATAAATTCCATATCTAAAATATATCTTAAAGAGAAGAACTACTTATTCACTGGTTACAGAAGTTCCTGTCTACAAAAGTGGGCCATGATGGTGGAGCGGCTCATCTCATGCCCAGGAAACAGAGACTTTACCCGCCTGCCTGCTTATTCCATTCAGATCCTTGGTAGTTGATTGGAGCTGACCAGTCAGGGTCTTCCTATGTGAAAGAAACCTCTCTGGAAGCATCCTCAAGTCAGAAGAGTGTTTTATTAAATGTCTAGGCATTTTTTTTTCAGTGAAATCATATTGATAATCAAGATTAAGCACACATCTACAATCATCTTTGCCATGCAATCAACCCAAGTTCTCTTTAGCTTTGGAAACCATTTCCTCCTTTTATTTCTCAGCCATAGGTTCTTTCCTCCACTACTTAGAAAGAAATTTTCTATTGCTGACCTCATCAGACTGGTCTGCTTCAGAGCCTTCAATGCCTTCGTCTCAGGAATTCTTCTCCGGAAGCTACTGGGCTGGCACTTAGGTGTTTTCCTGATTGTGAATCAAGTGAGATGCTCTCTACAGTCTGCCAATGAAACTGTGTTTTCTCCTCCTAGTGTTTCTCTTAGGTCTGTCTCACATTCCTGGAAACATGTTGAGAAGCCCATAGTCCCTTCTACCAATGCAGCTATTTGTGGGATGGTCTGTATATCAAATGTGCTGCTCTGATTGGTCAATAAAAAAAACACTGATTGGCCAGTAGCCAGGCAGGAACTATAGGCGGGACTAACAAAGAGGAGAATTAAGAGAACAGGAAGGCGGAGGGAGACACTGCCAGCCGCCACCATGACAAGCAGCATGTGATGCCGGTAAGCCATGAGCTACATGGCAAGGTAGAGATTTATAGTAATGGATTATTTTAAGATGTAAGAACTAGATAGCTAGAAGCCTGAGCCATTAGGCCAAACAGTTTAAATAATATAAGCGTCTGTGTGTTTATTTTAAAAGTGGGCTGTCGGACTGCCAGGGCTTGTCAAGACCCAGAGAGAAAACTCTCCAGCTACAGACATTGGCACTCTGTGACAGTCACTTCAGGACTTACCCTGTGCTTAAAAATCCCAGTTAGTTGGGTGAAAACAAAGTCATGCTATAAGGTTAAAAGATCATTGCATTAAGAATATTGAAATTTAAAAGTTTAAAAATGTAACTTAGTCAATCACATAATTTTCATCCCTAAACTTGCCTGATGTTGTAGATGCATTTGATAATACAATATAATACCATGGAGAATATTTCAGAGAGATTGTCATTTTTCCTTTTTTTGAATTTAATTGAAACATTTTGCCTTCATTATTTTTAAGCATTTTTCTTAATACCCTAATTTTATATGTTTCCATATTCTTTAATGTTGACGTTGCTATGATTACCCCTGTAATAGCTTATTTGAGGTTATTTTCTTTTTCCAGAAAGTTTTCTGAGCCAACATCATTCAAACTATCTTAGCATAGCCTGCCTATGAAATAAAAAAATGTAAATAAAATAGCTGATTTTCTGGTTGCAACATGAACAAAATATACTTCAAAAAGTTGAGCCTTCATTTTTTGTTCATTTTAGACAGAATCTTAATATGCAGATCAGGCTGGCAGGGAATTTGCTGAGCAGTGCAGGTTGCCCTGGAACTCATAATGTGCTGTATTAGACTCCTAATGGCTGGAATTAGAGGTGTGCACCATCATCTTTGACTTAAAACTCATTTGGGAATCTGAGGGGGCTACAGTAGCTTGAACCTAAGGCTAAGTGAGTACTCTGATACTGAGCTATATCCCCAGCTCAGTTCTCCATCATTAAGGTGATAAACAGGAACACAAATCTTTGTAATATCGGAAGTTTACCTGCTGAAGTAGGCTCTTCTTCATCTGATGCTACATTCAAGGGAGGGAGAGGAAGTGGACAGAAACAGAGGATGGAGTGGCAGTGGTAGGGGAAGGGTAGGAGAGAGAAAGAGAGAAAAAATAAACATTAATATGCAAATAATCACTGCAAGCCAATGACTAATAATTTTGGCATATACTAGAAATTTTTCATTGCCTAATGGAATTTACTTATAATTAATTATAGGAAATTTAAATAGACGTACACATTATTTAATGTATGTATTTATTATAAAGGACCAATTTCTTGTCCTAATTGGATGGAGTTTTTGTTTTTGTTTTTTGCAAAGAAGACTGACTTTAGTTAGTTTATGTACTTTTAAACAGTTTTTCAAAATATAAGTCAGATATAACATATAGATGCTGGGTATGGGCCCCCAGAAGTTGACAGGATCCAGAGAGGAGGCAAGGAGTAGATGAGGGAGGAAGTGAGCTATGCCATGGTGGTGGTGAGAATCTTGCAGTCAGAATGCTTCTTTATTTAAACAGAATTAAGTAACTAGGGGTAGATTTATGCTGGTCCAAAACACAGATCATACCATTTTTGTTCCTGGACATGTGTTTAACTTTTTCTCTTGCACATCTGGAGTCATAAATTTAGTCATCATTGATAGAGTTACATTTTATAATCATTTTTACTCATTAACCCCATAACCCAATTTTTAAGAATCTAGAGGCATAAGACAGCCTGTTCTCAGGCTGTTAGTTCTTGTGTCTTCAAGGACGCTAGATAGAAAAAAAACTCCCATGCCAGCCTGGGCAGATTGCCATGTCCTGAGCAGTGTATTATTAACTGTTAATGGTCAGAGTGTCCATGAAAAATCCTCAGGCCAAAGCTACTATAGTTATTATGCAATTTCTGGCACAATACATTATATTACACTTTATATCTTTATAGAATTTGTTTATGTGTCTAATCCTAGCATTCTTTTGTCTTTGGTCATATGACACCACAGTGGCTCTGCACACGTTAACATTTCTAAGAAAGGGAGGCACCTCATTCTTTTATCATTTTTCTACACTGCTGTTTGTCCATCAATATAAGTCCCTGCATGGCAAAGGTAACTTCAGCTAATCTAACTTTGTTTCTGTATATGGCACATGATCGCCTAAGTGTACAGCAGGGTGAGGCTTGTAAACTGATCTGTGGCCAACTCCTCTAGTCAACCGAATCATGTTGACCTTTTAAAGTTTGCTTTGATTTGATTATCTTATTTCTGAGTGAGGACAGGGGCAAATGTTATAAGAATGTCTCAGAGCCTCATAAAGAGACCTCTGGCTTCTTTAGTCACAACCTCCAAGGCGTAAGGAAGACCTTCGAGTAGATGAGACTATCTTCCTAAAAGTGGGAGGGGTGGTATGCTCAGGACTTTCCTGGGGAAGCTTAGAAGCAGTACTCCTGGGAGAAGGAATAAAGGATTCATAAAAAAAAAAATTCCATCAATCCAATATCCCCAAGTAGAATAAATATTAAAATATTCCTAAGTAGGCAATATGTGGAGATCAAAACCCAAAGTAGCACAGCAGCCATCATGTGACTCAGCTTGGCTGGATCTTCGTCAAGCAGCTATGCTGGCTCTATGAGTTTTGCTGGTCTCATCGGATATGGCTGTGCTAGTTTCCCCTTTTAACTTTTGATATTAAGGGTCTGTAGATCTTGTTGCATGGCATGTACAGCATTTCTCAGTCCCAGGATTATGACTGGAAGGACACAAACCCAAATAAACACAACTCCCAATATATGATTCACTTCCTGTTTTCTATTCAATTAAAAGTCATTGTCAACAGCAAAAGCTTGTATTCTGTGTGATAGAGCATGATTATTATTAAATCCTACTGATTCAAAACCACGTTGAAGTTTTCTAAACATAAAGACCCTAGTGAACATGCACTGTGCATATCCTGTCTGTCATTTTCCTATCCCATCTTCTCCCCGCAACACTCAAGCATATACATTCAGTCATTGACATGTACCACACTCACTTTAAGAATCAGTAATGACAGATGATACTATGATAAAGGCATGGGGATGTGCTTTGTTTGTTGAGACAAGGTCTCACTGTCTACCCAAGGCTGATCTGGAATTCTATGTATTGTAAATTATCCTTGAACGCACACACTTGAAGTGTGTGCATACTTCCCAAGCCTCCTGCCCCAACTGTGGGAATTACAGCTGTGAACCATGACCCCCAGCTTTATGGATGGAAATTTTAAAGAATGGGTCCAGATAGTCTTCTCATGTATTTGTCAGCTCACATAGGGCTAAACATGGATAGTATAAAAGCAGAGATCATAATATAAAAAAAATATTATCCTACTGCACCATTTCAAAACCCTGGAGCCAACGTCTGTCTCCTTGTCAAACTAATTACTTAGAATCCTTTTAAATGGCACTAATTTGTAGCAGGATAGAAATATTGACATGTAATGTTACTATGTTATATAAACTATAACTAATGAAAGTGTTAATCATGCTGATTCCTGCTTTGAATGTGGAGGTGTTTCAGAGCAGTGAGATTGCAAAGCAATAACCTAACGCAGTGTGTATGTTGGGATGGAAAATAGAAATGGTAAGAGTGAAAAGCAGAGTTCAAATGAGTAGCTTGACAATTCCTCATACAATCTACCTGTTTACCCTTATATTCTCACACAAGTTCTGGGCAGAGGGATGTCTGCTCTGTGCACAGAAACAATTTGCCCAAAATATTACCATTGAATGATATGTCAAAAGCCAATAGTATTTCACTTGGTTTGTAATGGTTTAAAATAAAAAAAAAATATTAAGTTGAATGGGTTATAAAGTAGCTTTGTTCCCACTTGATTTGTTAATCAATGTATCCTGTGTAGCCAGAAAATGTTCTCCACTCTTTCCATTAAAGTCCCAACTCCGCTGGGTACCCTTGAAACAAGCTTACTTTGTGCCTCTACAGTACTTTCCACTCCCATTTTGGCTTTCCTCCTTGGCACATAAAGAAATAGAGAGAGCAAACCTAGTTGGCACACATGACATTGAAAATATAAATATTTAAAAAGCTGTTTTCTGTTCCATCACATCCAAAATATACCATAACACATCCACTGAGGAAAGTTTCTGGTAGCTTCCTAATTCATCGGTAGGAAAATGTCAAAAAGGCTTGCAGAAGAGCTGACTTATGTGGGTCATTGCAAATATGTGGAGATTTAAAAGGATAAAAGTAAATACGCTTATAGCTCTTCATGTTACAAGCTTAAACCCATTTAGTTCACAAAGCAACCAATAGCTGAAGATTAGTGAGGTTACAAAGGTTCTAGCGACTCCAGAATTTTTCGGAAAACTGTCCATTTGAATTTGAGATGACAGTAGTTTCACTGAAAAACTATAGTCTTTCCTTGTACCTTATTGTCCAGGAAAGGCTGATTCAGTGCCTTCTCGGAAAAAGGAGAAAAACATATGACCAAGAGTCTGTTGAAATTTGTTCACTCACAAATTGGGACACGAAACGAGGACTGACCCGATTCCCGATAATGTCAACTGGACTTAAGCCTAAGTAGAAATGAAATAATGAAATACAATCTAACATTAGGGCTGAGGAGATAAGTCTTTTTAGGGGAAGTTCTCCATGCCTTGTACAACGCAGGAATATAAATAGAAAAGTGAGAGCCTGATTATAGTTATGCAGAGCATGAAAAGACAATGATACCCAAGGGTGAAGTAGTAGAATTGCCACGATTTTAACTGTGCAGTGAATGTATAAGCCAGGATATTTCAAAGTCTCCAGAAAGTCCCCCAAAGGCAAGTATAAACTTAGTGTTGTTGTTTGGGTTTTGTTTGATTTTAAAACCAATGTTTAAAGAAGTAGGAAGAGGGCCACACAGCACATGCCTTTAATGCCAGCACTTAGAAGGCAGAGGCAGGTGGATCTCTGAGTTTGAGGCCAGCCTGGTCTGCAGAGCAAGTGTCAGGACAGCCAGGGTTACACATAGAAACCCTGTCTCAACAAATCAAAAAAAAAGTAGGAACTGTTCTCAACTTATATTTGATCTTGGCATACTTTAAAGTGTTTTTACAACACGTGGAAAGTATAGAATTAGCAGGAGCAGAGTGTTGTATAGAGTTTTATTTCTATGCAACATCTCCCTTGATTTTCCATAATATTTAGAAGTCAGTAACTACTACACATAAGTTTGATATACACATGTTTACCAAGGCACATATATAAGAATAAGGACTTGTATTAGTTCATTTAACTGATTAGCAGTTATTTAGTTGTGTGGAAAGGCCTCTGTGCAGGTTAATTATATCACTGAGCAAAACATCAAAAAGTATTAACAGGTGGTAACTCAAGTCCCAGGATAAAAATAAAACTTAAAGTTGATATCAACAGTCCAAATAACGATATTTCCAAGGAACTTGGGTCATGGAAAGTACTGTCATACTACCCATATGACTTGTACTCTTACCATTTTATTCTTAGAGTCATGGAATCAGTGGTTTCTAAAGATGCTGATCTGACCCCAGCCAGTCTTGTTTAGTTCTGGAAATTAATACACAGGCACCAAGCAAAACAACTGATAAAATAATTGTTGCTCAAGTCAACTATTAGAGGCACCGCAATCCGTGTTAGGACGACAGACAGTGAAGAAACATCTGACCTACAGGAATTAACCAAATTCTGTCTTTCATCAAGCACAGCAAATTCTCCCTTGGTGTTTCTTAAAATGTTGTAACATTTTATACATATTATGAATTTGAATTTGAATTTTGGGTGCTATCCCAGGCTACTGCATTTTTTAAAAGCTCTGCAGGTGGCTTGTCTGAATACTGCATTTTGAAAAAGATGGCTGTAGACCGTCAAAGGTTGATTAACTGGAAAGAAGCCATGGGTCCAGTTGGTGGAAGTGTTCTAGAAAGTTAGAAGCAGGGAAACATAAATAAAATAAAATCACTTTGAAGTGTATATTGCTGTTCTTTTTTTTTCTTGTAATATTGTCAAGATTTGTTGGGTATCTAT